CCATGTAAGGCAGGCCTGCTTCCCCTTTGTCTTCCTCCACGATTATGAGTTTCCTGAGGGCTCTCCAGAAGCTGATGCCACCATGCTTCCTGTACAGCCTACAGAAATGTGAGCCAATTCAGCCTCTTTTCTTTCTAAATTACCCAGTCTCCAGAATCTTTTTATAGCAATGTGAGAATGAACTAATACACTTCGGTACCTTATGAGGTCAAACATATATTTTAAAATTCTGAATGAAGAGATCCCCCCCACAAAAGGCTTTGTGTGAACAACATGGCTGTTTATTCAGCCGGGTGCAGCCGGGCTGAGTCTGGAAAGAGAGTCAGCGGAGGGCAGTGGGATAGGAGCTGGTTTGATAGGTTTGGGGTAGGCAGTGGAAAGTTATAGAAGTAACAGTTTAAGGTGGTTTTTTGCAAGCTGGGAGGGGGTGGTAGGGTCTGGAGTCACGAGGTTGACCAAGTTCAGTTACGAAGTCCAATAGCCTTATCAGTTGAGGCTGGAATGAGAAACAATAGAATAATATCTCAAGTTAGGTAGGTGCTGCAGGGGTTGACCATTCTTCCTCTTTTCATGCTCTTCCAGTTACTTCAGATTTTCTAATGCTGCGAGGCCCTCCAGAGGTGTACAAGCAGGTCATGGGGATCATCATGGTGTCCATGGCACCGTCAGCCTAGAAGACCTTATGTTCCTGACTCTTTATAGTAGTAATATCAAGGAAAAAGAAAGAGTAGAGGGCAGTAGAGTATTAGGAAGGCCAGCACAAAGCAGTGTAGAGCAATGTGTCTCAGGGCTTCTTTGAGCAGCATTGGGGGTGGGACGGAAACCTAAAAATAGGAAATAATTTAGAGTACTGGGAGATCTCGGGGCAAGGGGTGATATTGTGGGGTTGTTAGAAGGAGCATTTGTTGTATTGAGTGATTGGCTATCGCTTGTATAAGATTTTGTAGGTATCAGAGGACTAAGGATTCGAAGAAGCCATGACACCCAATTAGAGAGTGTCCAGCCAGTCCAGCCAGGTCCAGAATAACCATTTGCCTGATTAGCGAGCTTTTGGGCTCTGTCTTTTAATTTATTGATGGCGTCATATACGAGGCCAGACTGGTTTTCATTCTTCATTTAGGAATAGGCAAAGACCTCCTTTTTCAGCAGTCAGTAAATCAAGACCTCTGCAGTTTTGGAGGACCACTGCAGCTAGGGAATTTACTAGAGCTTGAAGAAGGGACAGTGATTGAGTTAATTCTGCACTGCTAGCAGAGAAATCATTAGGGAGGCTACAGAAGGTGACAATTGAAGTGATAAGGCCTGCTAGGCGTGAGCTGAGTGCAGTAGTAATTCCTAACCCTACAAGTAAGAGGATCAGTGGTATGACCCGTTTATGTTGTATTGGGACCTCAAGGGGAACAGGGAGGCTTTCATTTCCACTGGCAAACTGAATTTTAGGAGTAAGGAAAATGAGGGTACAAGTCTGTGTCCAGTTGATAGGAAGGCAGATGTAAGAAGAAGAACCACAGAGGAAACAAAAGTTCTTGGCTTAGACAGAACTGGAAGTGTAAACTGAAAAGGTGAGAAAAAGTTCTGAGGGGCTGGGGCTTTGGACCCAAATGCCACGGGAACCAGCAAGGGCTGCAGTTTGGTAGGGTAACTCTGTGGAGGGAGAGCTTTTGTTTTCATGGTTTCTGAGGAAGCGTGTGGTATCTGTAAGTAACCACTCACTTTCATTAACAAGATTGAGCGTGGGCAGACAGCAAGAGGGGTCTGGAGCAGAGTCTGAGGAGCAAGGGGAGGGCAGCCAAGGATGGAGTGAGAGACAGGGTGAATGCTTACCTAGGCAAAACTTGAAGTTTATTTGCCAATCTTGTGTAGGGGAAAATTCACGGGCCTGATGTGAAGGAAAAAGTGTGTGTGTTGGGGGCGGGGTGGGTCTGAAAAACCCCTAAGTAGTAGGAGAGCGGCAGATAGAACATTGAGATGTGATTGTTTTGAGGATGAACTTCCACGATGGAAAAGAAATAAGTGAGAAAACCTCTTTCTGCCCATATGGCAGCATGGTGGCATAGGATGTAGAGGTGTAGATTTAGTACAGATATTAACATTGTAGTCCTTTGGCAAGAATAAGAGCACAGGTTAAGGCGATCCATTCAGCTTGCTGAGAAGTGTGGAACAGGGGAGCATGGCAGCCTTGATAATAAATGAGTGGGCTACAACAGCATGGCCAGCTTTGGCCGGTGGCAGCCGACTGGGCTTGGGGGAACTGCCATTAATAAACCATGTGTGGTCTGGGTCTGGAATAGGAAAAAGAGAAATATGGGGAAACGGGGAGGGTGCTTTATGGATTAGGAGCTAAATCATGGATTTATCAGGGATTGCGCTGGGTATTAAGTGAGAGGCTGGGTTGAAGTCAGGTACAAGAGCAATGGTTACTGTGGGGGTTTTGATACAGAGTCCATAAAGCTGGAGAAAGCAAAGGGCTGAAAGGAAGCGTGTGAGAGGTAAGGTGCAGAGGAAAGTAACCTTTGGAGGCTGTGAGAGCTGGAGAGGGTAAGTGGGGCATAGCCTGTGAGTTTGGAGGGATTCTAAGAGTATCAGGATGGCAGCTGCTGCCACGCGTAGGCATGAGGGCCAGCCCGGGACTGTGAGGTTGTTTGCTAAAAAGGCTGCAGGCCGTGGGCCTGGCTCCTGTGTAAGAATTCCGACGGCACTGCCTTTTATTTCTGCTGCATAGAGAGAGAAGGTTGAGAGGAGTTGGAAGCACTCAAATAGAAGTCTCTAAGGCCTTTTTTAGAGAATGGAAGGAAGAATGGGAGGATTTTTGGTCTATGGGGTCAGCTAAGTTTCCTTTTGTAAGTTCATAAAGTGGCTTACTCACGGGGACAAAACCTGGTATCCAGAAGTGAAAGTATCCTGCAAGTCTCAGGAAGGAGAGACGCTGTTGTTTAGTGGATGGGGTTGGGCTTCGGGAAATTAGCTGGATACGGGTGTCAGAGAGTGTGTGTATGCTGGCGAAGGATTATAACAGTGGGGAAGGAATTTGGGTGTTAGAAACAAGCGTTTCTGAGGTCAAGAACAAGATAGTGAGTTGTGGAAGGGGGTATGGAAGATAGGAGGGTGCTGGGGTTTGGTACAAGCAGGTGGGTGGGAGGTACAGTCTGATTGATGAGGCAGGGATCTTAGACTAGTCTGTAGAATTTGTCAGGTTTGGGGACAGCTAGGATAGGGAATTGTAAGGAGAGTTTGTAGGAATTTAAAAGCCATGTTGCAGTAAGTGAGTATAACAGGCTTTAGGCCTTTTACTGCTTGTGCTGGGATGGGGTACCGGTGCCGGGCAGGATAGGTGGTTAGGTTTTAAGGGGATGATGAAGAGTGAGTGATTTGTAGCAAGGGATGGGAGGCGGTGTCCCACACCCTAGGGTTAAGTTAGGGGGACATAAGGGGAGCTATTGAAGAAGGTATAGATTTGCGGAGAAGGGTGACAATGAAGTGTGGCTGCAGCCCAGGAACAGTTAAGGGGGCAGAAAATTTAGTTAGGATATCCCGGCCTAACAGGGGAACTGGACACGTGGGGATGATTAGGAAAGATTGTGGAAAGGAGTGCTGGCCTGACTGACACCAGACTTGGGGAGTTCCGAGAGGCCTGGGAACCTGGCCATCAATTCTCACAAGTTATGGAGGCCAAGGAGATAGGTCCTTGAAAAGAAGGCAGCTTGGAGTGAGTGGCCCCTGTATTGATTATGAAGGGAGGGACTTACCCTCCACCGTAAGAGTTACCCAAAGCTTGGTGTCTGTGATGGTCCAGGGGGCTGCGGAGGTGTTCGGGCAGCATCAGTCTTCAGCGGCCAAGCTGAAGCAACGTGAGTCGGACAGTCCAACTTTCAGTCGGGTCCCTACACAGATGGGGCAAGGCTTAGGAGGAATCCGTGGCTGCAGGCATTCCTTGGCCCAGTGGCCAGGTTTCCGACACTTGAAGCAAGGTCCAGGAGGGGTGGCTGGACGCTGCAGTCTGGGTACTTCGAAGTCTTTTTGAGCCAGTGGAGTGGCTAAGATTTGTCTTATGGCAGAGGCAAGCATCTGTAGTTCTGAGATGCACTGCTGCTGGGAAGCTTCTTCCCCATTATTAAACACCTTGAAGGCGAGGTTGATTCATTCCCGTTGTGGGTTTTGAGGGCCGCTTTTTAATGTTAGGGGCTGATTGGGTGATAAATGTTCTTCAGGGGTGAGAGGAGAAGGATGACATTTAAGTCACTCCAGGTGAGACTATAGGACTGGGTTAAATATTTGACGATCTGATGAAAAGGAGCATAACTGTTGACTGATTTGGGAAAGGTCAGATAAAGAGAAAGGAACGTGCGCCCTAACTGCTGCCTTCGGCTCCGGCCACCTCTCGAAGGGTGAACTATTAGGTAGGGGCAGAGGAGTCAGCCGCAGACTTAACTGTTAACTGGACTGGGTGTGAGGTGGGGAGGTGGCAGCAGGGGAATAAGGAGGGGGTCGGAGGCAGAGGAAGAGGAGGGAGGCTCAGTGTGTGTGGGGGAGGGTGGTTTAGGGCCTGGATTAGGGTCTGGTTCGGACAGGCAGGAAGGAGAAAGGGCGGATGGTCAAGGAAGACTCTGTTGCTGGCAGATGCAGGAGGGGCAGACAGAAGGGACAGAAGACAAATTTGGGATGGGTTGTCTTGAGAGCAGACATTAGGGAGAGATTGCAGTGTCAAAAAAAATGCCTGGACGTCGGGCAACTCAGACCATTTGCCCATTCGTTTACAAAAATTGTTTAGGTCTCACAGAACAGAAAAATTAAAGGTGCTGTTTTCTGGCCATTTGGAACCATTGTTTAATTTGTATGGAGGCCAGGCCATGTCACAGAAAAAAACAAATGAGATGTTTAGGTTTCAGATCAGGTGACAGTTGAAGAGGTTTTAGGTTTTTTAGGACGCAGGCTAGAGGCGAAGACTGAGGAATAGAGGGCAGAATATTGCCCATAGCAAAAGAGATAATTTTTAAGAAAAGGAGTAAAGACAAGGAGAAGGAGCGAGCAGCTGCCAGGGTTTTCGGTAGGCGTCCCTGACTGAGTCCTGGGCTGTAACGTAGGTGAGTGGTCAAGGCAGGCGTCCCTGCAGTAGAACGGACACCGAGGGAAGACGGTCTTCCTGACTCCGTGACTAACAATGGAATTTTTTAAAGAGACGGAGAGACTTGTCTCCTCTTCTGATAGAGAAAAGAGGAGATACTGCTTACCCAATCTGAAGGTGCTGGGAGTTGTTCAGCATGCTCAGCTCAAGCTGCTGAGCTGGTCTGATGGGTTGAGGTCTTCTTGGGGTTTAGGGGAGCCCTTAGCTTTTTTGCGAGGCCATTTCCCCTGGTTTTTGGCTCACTACTTTTTTAAGAATGAGAGAGGAGACCATCGCGCAGTGAGCTTGTGAAATAAATACCAGACCCCAAAAGTGTTGCAGAAATGTGATTTATTTAGGCAGAGAGAGAAAAAGGAGAAGGAGAGAGAAAGAAACAGCTAGCTTTTACACTGAATGAGAGAAAGAAAAGCCGCTCTCACACTGAGTGAGAAGGATTTTTAGAGGGAGAAAACCAGAGAAGGAAAACTCCCCTTACAGAGTGAGAGAAACCAGAAAGATGGAATCCAGGAAAGGGAAGAGCTTCCACAGAGGATGGAAGGGGACCCCGGAGGGGAAAGAGAGCTCCCACTATGTGGGAAGGAGATCCGGAGGGCTGGAAATCCGGCCTGGGTGAAGGAGCTGGGGAATGTATCCTGGGAGAAATTCTCACCTCCCCAAAAGTTCCTCTGGCCAATGAAAGGAGTTCCATTAAACTTCCACTGGGGTGATTCACTCTTAGTTTTTTTCCGTGCCTGTGAAATTTAAACATAAACCGTTAAATATACGAGATGGAGAGAGATGGGAGGGGGCATGGCACTGGGAAGTTCTTGCCCTTAAAACTACGCCCCCTTGTGGACCCTGGAAAGAGAACACATTCCCCTCATTTCCCCCTTTGAACAGGTAAGCCCAATTTCTGTTGGAATACAGGTGTTGATAGCTTTTTAACTACTTTTTGCTGAAACGGGGCATAGAAGGGGCCCTGCAGTTGAGGTTTTTTTTAGAGGGTAGCCTTTTAGGGGTGCAGGTTGATTTAGAGATTTATGATAGAGCTTACAAGCCAAGGACATTTGGGGTTTTAGCAGCAGGATTATTTGTGACTTTATGGTTTTAGAAGAAATGAATGTGACAAGGCGGTTAAAGATGAAAAGCCCAGAGGCTAACAAATATAAAATGATTATAAACGAATCTAGCAGAGAATAGAGCCAGGACAGTTAGTCGTTAACCTTTACAATACTGTTTTTGGAAGATTTTTAGCCTTGTGTTTGTTTGTTTTGTGTTTGATTGTTTTTTGAGTTTTATTTTTAAAACAATAGTTAAGTGGTTTGGAAAATAGCAACATTTGTTTTTTTTTTCTTTTTCTTTCTTTTTATTTTTTTTTTTTTTTTTTTTAATATGAAACGGATAATTGGCATTTGTTGATTGTTTTTGTTGGGCCAACTTTTTTTTTTTTTTTTTTTTTACTACCTGTATGGGACAGAGTTGGGCATTCCGGTAGCCTGAGATGCCCTGGCCGTTTTGGACTAAGAGATCACGTGATCTATCCCTTCATCACATTTGAGTGTATCACTCAGTTATGGTCACATAGCATGAGCCCAGCAATCAGATTCTATTTCTGAGAAAATAGAAATTTGGATGCAGAGAAATTCTGAAAAGTGCTGAGAAGGGAATTGTAATTATTCAAAAATAAACTATCCTGTTTTTAAATTAAATTAACATCAATTCATTCACCATCATTTTCAAAAAAAAGAGATATTAATCTTTGTTAAAAGAAAATCCTTAGTGAAATTAAATTTAACATGGTTTTAGCTGAGCAAAGAATGAGTCACAGATCTGGTCTTCCCAGCCACAGAAGTCTCAAAAAGACTCCAGAACAGCCAGGTAGTTGAAGAAGATTTACAGACAGAAAAAGGCATGTGATATATAGAAAACGGAAGTGAAGACAGAAACAGCCTGAGGGGTTACAGCTCAGCATTTGCCTTATTTGAACATGGTTTTAATAGTTGGCCCCCTTTGACTGGCCAAAGCTCGGTGATTGGCTAAAGGGTAGGTTACAGTCTGTTTACAGTTCCATTTAGGTTATAGTTCACTATGTCCAGAGAAACATAAAATACGTAAGGAGGCAACTTAGGCTAAACGTGATTTAACATCATGTAGGTCATGACAAGAACTTGCATCTAATCCCAGCTATACCATACACTGGACTTTTGACAAGTTATTTCACCCCTTACCTCTGGTTTACTCATAGGCTGAAGGGATGATAAATAGCATTCTAACCACTGAATGGTGAGAACTAATTGCTTAAAACATAAAATGCTTGAAACAAGAACCAACATAGTAAACATTCAATAAATGTAAGGTATTTTGTTATTATTGTTATATGTGTCTGGTGACTAGCAGAAAGTGTGGTCCATAATTCATGGCCTCTAAGTTACTTTCTCTTCCCCTCTCAGAGCTAATTACCATTGTTGGTAAATGTTTATTAATCTATACATATATGCTTTTTAAATATCAATGTTTGATTTCCTATATCTTCATTTATCTACTGTTTTTATTTAAAACCTTCCTATGAAAACCAGATATAGCAGATTAACCAGACTAAAGAAAACATTTGACCATATGAATTTCATATGGATTCTACACATTCAACATTCTGCTCATGTAATTGCTAACATTTGTCTACATTAATTTAAACAATAATTTTTAAGATATTATAACTCTATGTAACAGGCTCATGCAAGTTAAATGACTATAATTCTTCTTAGATTATAAACTTGAATATTTCTTTGAGAATTTTATGTGGCTTTTTTCACATTGGCAAACTGATTGGAACTTTTCTTCTTAATATACACCAGAGAGCCATGGGACGAATATGGACAAAGTGGAAACAATGCATTTAGTAGTAATTTAAACCAGTTAAGCATGTATTTTCTAACTGCGGTACAGTTTTCTGCAATTAGGTTATGCTAAAGTTCATATTAACAACTTCGTGGATCTATGTAGCTAAGATTTAAATTTTTTAATGTTCATAAAAATGGAGGCTGAGATGGAAACTCATCCATCCTAGATGATTTTCCTGTTGATAGGTTTTACTATACCTCCTAGCTATATATTTACATTTTATTTCACTGCTCTTACATATATTTTAATACATATGTATTTTCAACACCATAAAATTACTTACCATTCCTTTTGTTTTAAATAAACTCCAGCTGAATTACAGGAAAGCAGAGAAAGACCGATTGTTGTATCTTTCTTTATACTAGATAGAGTGTATACCTCAGCCACATTCTCCATCAGTCATGCCAGATTTGGACTCAGAATTTCACAGTAACAAGCTATAAAAGGAAAATTAAGATCACCACAGAAATAATATCATACAAAATTATGCAACTGCTATTATTTTTAATTCTTCAAAAAGTAAAATAGGTAAACAAAAAAATGAATAGAGTTTTCTGGGTTTGTTTTGGAGAAATCTAAAAGAATAATACCTAGCCTATGTTAAATATCTACTGTAAAACTTTGGTGGATCTTTATTCACTTACAGATAATAGGCCATCAAACCCTAACTTACTTTTGAATTGTTGAATCTAACTTATTTTTGAATTGTGGTTGATACAAGAAACAAGAAAATAGAGACTGAAACTTACATTTATATTGTTCAGATAATTTGAATAAGGTTGTTTTTCTTTTCCTAGAACAAAGACAGGATTTCTACTAATCAAAACGTATTATCTACTCAGAGTTGAAAGGTATGATTTTAGAATAGGAATTCAAAAGCATAACTTGGAGAATTCTATGACTCAGCTCTAAGACACCGTTGCACAGAAGCCATGGAGTGTCATTTTAAATGTGCAAGTGATGTGACAACCCTCCCACTCTTCTAAGAATAAAGCCATGGCTGGACCCTGTTATCTCACAACCCCAAGGTACAATATGATAATGATCTCACTTACCATCAGTGCTGAAAAAGGAAAAACAAAAGGGAAAAGCTGCAAGCATTTTAACTAGAAAGAAGTCTAATTAAAATATTAATTTACTGATTAATATAACATTAGCTGACCTATTTTCTCTAGCTTGTTAAACAACAAAGACTTGTGAAGCTAAATAACTAACTGCTTAAGAGATAAATGTTTTTAAGAATTCCCAAGGAGATGTTTAGCTCCTTTTTAAACATCATTAAAGATATGCCTTGCATCTATCAGGCAATTTTATGCTTTCTGTACTGAAACATCCTGTTTACATTTATTAATGCATTCTAAAGAATTGGGATTTGCTTATGGGATCCCCTTTTTCCTAAACTATGACCAATAGATGTCAGGGTTTTTTATGCTTAGTGACTCATTGCAGAATTTATGAAAATTCAGACTCTTTCAAGAGAGTGAATCGGTTCACACTTGGAAATTTATTTTCTTAAACCCTTCATAATTTGAGATAATATTGATTTTAAAAATCAAAAACCAGCAAGCTGCTGTCAGCATCCTCACAGCCCCATGACCTCAGAAGTTCAAGCTGGCCTTCAAAGATTTATATTGAAAGCAAATTCAGGGCTGGCTTTTGGGTTAAGAAAGTTGAGTTTCTACTACAATTCTGTTACTAATACCATACATCGCTAAACCATATTTTCTTTAAAAAGTAAAAGTTTTTGAACGAAATTTCTGTCTTTCTTGAGACGTAAACTGCTAGCACTGTGGCCAGCCATGACAAAGTAAAACTCATTTTAGTCTGGTGCATTCTGCTACATGGGCTGAAGAAAGCTGAATGGTTTTCTTAGGAGAATCCAGTGGAGATCCACTGAAGTAATGTAAATAGTTAAGTGGCTATAGTTAGTAAAGGAGAAATCCTAAAGGTTTTGGGAAGGAGCTGAAATAGGGTTACACAAATGATAGACTGTTGGGAGTAGTGAAAAGAAAAAAATTAAACAACCTTCTTAGCTCTTCAGAATAGTTTGTTGGTTACTCATTCTTAACCTAATTCAGAGGATGATGCTGCCTTTTTGCTTAACATTGGTATTGACCCTGTATTTTTTTAGCATAAGAATAACGTGATTTGTTAAAATCTAGTTTCTACTATTAGGGACTCTTCCAAAAATATCTTCAAGGGTTAATAGG